ATATTTGTCTTTTTTGGTTTTATTTAAAAGATTGCACATTTGCAAATAATTTAATATTTTCTGTGATAGTTTGTATTCAGAAGATTTAATAAAAGATTGAAGGAAATAAAGTATAATTTATTTTGTAATAATTCATAACCTCACTGTATTCATTTATTATATTGACTATAACATCATAGTGTGACATTTGTGTTAATAATGATCGAGCATAGGTGACTGTGCTTGGTGGGACAGGGGGGCCCCAAATCAAATTCTGCTCAGGCCCCCCAAGGGGCTCTGGCCGGCACTGATACTCTGTGTAAACAAAATGAAAGTTGGTCTAAGACAGGTAATGAAATTTTGTGACCTTGTAAAATATATCTTTAACATATATGTAGTTGTGCTATTTAAAACATTTCATAATCAACTACCAAAAAAAAAAAAACATTTAGGAATGATTTACTCTTAAAGAGAACATTAATAATAAAGGAGGTGATGGAAATGTTATGATAGCTACTGTTGGAACCGGTCATAAACATCTTGTCCGACTGGATGTGGGCTAAAATGTGGAAGGTTTTGGATTTACAGCACATGTTTTGCTGAAATATGCTTCTACTGAAAAAAGGTCTTATCTGAATACAGTGAGAGTTTAAATGTCTTTATTTGGATCAGTCTTTTGCTGGATACATGATAAGTGTATTTCCACTCTTGTTATGTATCCTTGTTTAAATCCTTATCAATAATGCTTCTCATATGAATATAAACTGTTACTCTTATTGCCATTCCAAAAAAAGAAAATTAAAAACAATCCACTGGACTTTGTTTCCAAGTTAGAAGACATTTGTCTTCCATCCAGGAAGTTTTTTTCAGTTCAAAAGGTCAGAAATAGCGTTGAGTTCCAGGTTTTATACAGCAGCCCAACAAAGCCTTGTTTTTGCTTAGTAAACATGCAAAAAGAATTGAACGAACGGGTCCACCCCTTTGGAATGCCTGCAACTCAACTCGAACACTATTCCTTACTTTTGATTAAGCTTCCTGGAAGCAAAACAGTTCTGTTTTTTTCTTTTCAATTAAACCTATAATGAAGCTAAAATGAGACATGAAGTTGTCCATATGGAAGATAGGTTTTAGTGCAATCTTTACAATAAAGATGCTCGTGGCTCTTTGTTTAGAAGCAGCCAAGTTAGACTCACTTCAGCTCTGTCACATGTGTTTTAAAGTGACCATGCAATCCAACAAACTTTCTTTCCTCTTGATCAAGACGCTTTATTTTCCCAAAAAAAAAAAACAAACATAGAATTTCTTCCTGTAGTATGACGTGACAGGCGGATCATATCGGCTCATTTCGTTCCTTTTAAAAAATAATAATAATAATCAATAGCGGTCAAAGACTGTATGGCTGAGCTGACTGAATCCAAGAGCTCACCAGGCCCCGATAGCCAACTCCAATATATTCCAGGTGCTGCAGTAACCTGTCTATAATGAAGGGGCGGAGACAGGAAACAGCGTAAATGATGCACAGCAGCAAAAATATAACTAAACAAATGCATTATTTCATAATTAGGTCAACTCATACTTACCAAGCCAAAATATTTCATGTCCATATATGTCATACCCAAACAGACAAAAATAGTAAATTAGAAATAATAAATCTTCAATCATAAATCAAGCATTTGGCTCCAACAATAGTGATGGGATTCAATAATTAAATAACAGTACCCTATTAACTTATATCCGGTACTTCTGGGCTTATCTAAACATTCTAAGGTAAGGGTCTGATTGTATATCAGGGGATCTTTTCTGCAGCTGCAGCTAAATAAATACTGTTGGAGACACTCAGGCTTTCAGAAGTTCCAGGAACAGTTGTTTTAAAGGCAATAGTTCTTGTTTGGTTGTCAAAAAATATTTCTCAATAGAAGGTTGTATAGATTGATCATAGTGGTCCGGGCTGAGTGAGGCAAAACCTGATGAAGACCTGACCAACAGGAGACCAGACTGGATCCGGTTACATAAAGTGGGTGTTTCCATGGAGACAGCCGCTCCCTGATATAGAGCTGAGATATGACCTCATTTTCACCATTAGAACGCTGTAATTGTTAATTAGGCTACAGACCACCAGCCTGCTGTGGCTGGAAACTTTGGGATGGAGAGAAAGGATCATTTATTTCAACATCACTTATTGATTTATAGTAACCTACTTAACCTGCTCTTTTAATACAATGTTTGATGTTAAAGTCGTAGGGAAATCATATTTAAATGTCAAATCATTCTGGCTTAAAAATGTATATAAATGTATTCTTTATAAGACCATATTGTCCCAAAATTGTGAACATTTCTATTAAAATTCCAAATTTTCATGAATAAAGGTAGAGATGAGATTAATAGAAGAGAAAATTGATAATTAATATGATTTAGACTCAAACATAATAAGAATACACCAACCGTTAACAGTATGTCCAGATTTATACAGAGGGATCAAAAATGGCTGAAGACATAGGAATGGAAAAAAATGAATGTGTAAAATCACATATATATATATCCAAGCTCATAATAGTTGTAAAATATGTTTTTTTTAATCTACATGGATTGTTAAAAACAATCCTCTGGACTTTGTTTCCAAGTTTGAAGACCTTTCGCTTCCCATCCAGGAAGCTTT